ATATATCTATATCTATATATAGATATATAGATATATCTATATTTTTTTTTCCAATTCCAACCGGCGCTGAACAATTTTGGAAAATAATCTAATTGTTGCAACAATCCCCCGCCCTCCACCCCGCACCTAAATTGCGATTTTTCAAGGTCCTCTTCTGTTGTATTTTTCAACAAAGAAGGTAAGCAATTAACTTGTATACAATAAACAATACAGCAGATCTACAACGCATTATGGGATACTAAGAAAAAGACAAATGAAACATTAATTAATCTGAAAGACAGTTTATCTACTACAATTACAGCTATAAACATCTTAAATACTTAAATAGTCTGATAAGCCTTCACCACGACAACATACTGTAATTGTGCCACACGTGGTGTAGAAATCACATAAACTAGAGTGTAGATTTGCACTTCAATGCAAACATGACATGTAAACGTGGACTGCACTATTTAATCTCTACATTTATCATAGGGATTGTTAAAGAAATAAAATATTCATGTATAAAACTTGAAGTTTACTGATCTCCAGCCAGTAACATCACACAAACGTGTAGGGCAGGGGTCGGGAACCTATGGCTCGCGAGCCATATGCGGATCTTTTGATGATTGCATCTGGCTCGCAGATAAAACAAAATATTCTCTCTTGTTTAATCTATCCATCGATTTTTCACTGCTCATGTCCTATTCAGGGCTGCAGTTGCAGAAGCAATTTTAATTGGATGATACTGGCCGACGTAGGTCGTTGCTATGGAAACAGGTAAATGCCCTCTTACGAATCAGCCCGCACGGTCATTAGCTCAAAGCTAATCCTAAAATAATAAGATGGCGCAAAGAAAAAAAGATGACGAGTCTGGTACACTTCAGGACGAATGGACCGAAGGATTCGCTTTTGTGGAGAGAACAGGTTCTGCGGTGTGTCTGATTTGCAATGACAAAATACCATAGATGAAACGGTCGAATGTAAAGTGGCACTTTGACACGCGCCATGCTACGTTCGCATCAAAACGCCCTGCGAGAGAGCAGAAAGGAAGCGTGCAAGCAAATGAGCAGGGTGCAAGCCAGCCAGCAGCAACTCCGCGAATTGACCCGGCAAACTGACTCTAATTCCGCTCGTTTTGCTGAATTTTTAGGCAATCGTGAGGAACGGAAAACCATTCACATTAATGGCGAGTATTATCACAAAATTATTTAAAAGAATACATTCAGAGGCTTATTAAACTGACATTTTGTTGAATTCACTTTTAAAATACAATTTTATAAATATATATATGGTTCTCGCTATAATATAAGATTTCCAAATATTTTGCTTATATGGCTCTCTTAGTCAAAAAGGTTCCCAACCCCCGGTGGAGGACAAGCACAATTATACATGTTTATGACATAACATCTATCTGGTTCACAAATGGATACGCGCCAGCAGGCATTGCGACTTGGCACCGTCTCATCTATTAAATTATCTTTTGGTCTTTCTATGGTTTCATCCATTTAACATACGGCCAAAATTATCTCCTTACCGCTGACAGTTTTGGACGGCCACTGCCATGACAGATACAATAAATCATTCAGACTTAATTCCAAAACTAGATATTTCTCAAAGAATTATGATCTTTCTAAAGGCAGATGTGTTGATAGAGCAATATCATTTGATTATGCAGGCGTATCTACTATAATGTCGACTATGTGTGTCATGCTGCGTCACCTTGACATACAAAACAGGATGGCCCCATTTCCAACAAGCATGACCTTATGATTGTTGTTTGAATGCAGGTTTTGTGGGATGTTTTCATTGTCAGTTTTTACAATATTTATAGATTCAGTAATGCTATTTTTTTCCCATCACAATCGTGTCCTGAGCTTTGAGTTTGACTTGCATTTGAATTGCTCCAAAATACAAGAAAGTTGCTCCCAAAATGAAGCAATTGATTTGCAAAGTGAGAAGAAAAAAAAATCGCGCTTTGGATTGTATCCTCACTTTTCACAGGTGATATGTTCCAACAGGTGAATTTCCACCAAGTGGAAGTAGACTTTTTATACATTTACTTATTTGTTTGATTTTGCAGGTGGATATCCGCCTCCATTAAGCCATGACTAACCCCCACAGACGGTTCCCTTCCCAACCTCCTAAACACTTGTTACACTTAATAAATTTAACTAATTTAACTGCAAAATGAAGAATAAATGCCGAGCCGCAGGCTGCATTCATAAATTGTGAGCGCGGCATGCTCTGCACACCGACAGCGGACGAACACGACGGAACGCTGGCTGATAAACTATGTTCAAGTTTTTCTTCTGCCATCCATCCATCCATCAATCTATCCATCCATTTTCTACCGCTTATCTGGGGTGGGGTCGCGGAGGCAACAGCTTAGCAAGGAAGCCTGGACTTCCCTCTCCACAGCAATTTTTTCCAGCTCTTCCCGGGGGATCTCAAGGAGTTTCCAGGCCAACTGGGAGACATAGTCTCTCCAGCGTGCCCGGGGCCTCCTGCCGGTGGGACATGCCCGGAACACGTCACCAGGGAGTCCAGGAGGCCTCTTAATGAGATGCCCAAGCCACCTCATCTGGCTCCTCTCGACATGGAGGAGAAGCGCCTCGACTCTGAGCATTTCGTTGGAGATAGAAAGAGCATACTAGAAGGACTTTGAACGATTATTGCGGTCAAGAAATGTGGACATTATGAACATGAAAAGAGAACGCTCCAGTTTTGTTGCTTTTGTTTACCCGGAGGATGAACCGGAATTACATACACATGCATTTTTTAAAAAATGGTCAATTTGCAAAAAAAAAAAAATTAGTGTTATATCACAATCACTGAGAGGGAACACAAAGTTGTTTTGCCCCTTCCATCTGACCTTGGGTGCTCTGTACCGACCACCGGAAGACTGCTGGAATAGCCTCCAACTCTCGCGCAACCCCAGTGAGGGAGGATTAGCGGTTTCGAAAATGGATGAGTGAACATTGGGTTGGATATTACCCTTTGATTGGCTACATTCCATCACGTCACAGATTGCTGAGTCAACTAGGTCAGGAGAACTCAGTCAGGAGAACCCCCCCCCGCCCAACACAAGAAGATTTTTGTCGTAAATATTGAACACGTTCATTAGATTGCCGGCCCCGACTGGGTGTGGACCCTACTTTTGAGACAAATCCACACCTCACACATAAGGATAATTGTATAAGTCTTATAAAGACATAAGATTGTCTGGCGTTTGACGTCTTTGGTAGGGAAGGGTCAAACTCGGGACAAAAACAGCCCGATTGTCTTTATGTGTGTACTCGGCCTAAGTAAGTGTTATGTCACCAAATATTAAGTGTTATTCACTTTATGTTAAATTAATAATGTGCAGTCCAATACTTCTGCCCCCTTGAAAAGTGAACTGAATTGCTCGATGGAAACATGGCCTTATGTGCCTCTTAACAATATTTACCCCATGGAGATCATCCACCAATAAACTTGTTCTGCACAAATATTTAATATGCTGTCACAAGTGATCTTATGCATATGGTTAACATCCCTTCTCAAATGTCAGACCCGCAGTTCAAAAATCGCTCTGAATGCCATGAATGTAATTTT